CTCCAGAATATCTAAGGTTGAATGTTTTGATGTGACATTCGTGGGAGCTGCAGATATTGGTTAAGACCCTGACACGGCCTGTAATGCCTACAGCTTCCCCAGATACAGGAATATACATCATAGACTTTTTATTGTTGGAACAATGTATCATAGATTCATCCCTCTGACAGACTGGAGAGAAACTTTCTATAAAACTGGCCTAACCCCTGTAACTTTTTCCAACCAATCATGACTCTTTAAAATACTTACACAGCATGCTTTATGCATCTAATTATTTAAAAAAAAAAAGTGACTTGAATAACTTCATCTCAATCCAAATCAGACAAATATTATGTAAAAATCTGTTTTTTATACATCTATAAGAGAAATAAAGTCTATTCCAAGTTCTATCAATACATATTCAACTGCTTTTAATGTAGATCATTTAACTATGTACAGAGTAACAATACTCACGAGTGTACTATGTGTTAGACAGTGTTCTGAGGACCTTGCTCATATTAATTTATTTAATCCTCACAACAATATCATGAGGTAGGTACTATCATTCTCCCTACTTCCCACATGAAATAGGCAGAGACTAAGTAATCTGACCAATGTCATCCAGCGGGCAGGTGACAGAGCTGGAATTGCAGACCCAGGCATAGTCTGGCTCCAGAGCAGATGATCTTGACCTTTATAGACATTACTGATTAATTAATTCAATAAATGAGTATCTAATCTGGTCGAGGCATTGTGCTAAACACTGTAGGGAATTCAAAGAATAATATGTGGTCTCTGCACTCAAGAGGTCCGTATTTTGGCTGCTGCCTTCATAAGACATCAAGTTGAACATTTTCCACCCCATCACCCTGCCCCATGGTAACTAGGTCCTAGAGTTTTATGCCAGAGACACAGATTTGGGAATTGAGCCAGATCTTAAACCTCAGTTGAGTCTCTTCATTTTACAAACTTGAAAACTGATATGCAGAGAAGTGTCTTGTTCGAGGTCCCAAGGCTAATGAGAAAGTGCAACTAGAATAGCAGGTCACTGGTCTCCCAATCAGTAAAAGGTGTTCGTGAAAATTGTATGTAAGTTAAATTTGTGCAGGCTTCATTATAGTTTAAAACCCTACGTGGAGATTTCTGTGTGTATAAGGAACTCAGTATTAAATATTCCATACAGGCAATTATCATTTTATAATGTGAATAATAACCACCCACCACCATGCCAAAGCATGTCTTTTATAAATCTTGGTATCGGTATACTACTGAATTGGATGAAAATAGAAAAAAAAGAACCTTGGTTGTCTTATCGGCTGGCAAACT